AAAAGTTGTTTACCTTAGAAGCCAGGAGGTTCGGTATGTTTCCTCTAGTCCCCATAATACTTTCGAACTGGCTAGGTACGAAGGTGAAATCAAGGATTGTACCAAGGCTTGGAGCCTAAGCTTCTGGAAGGGTCCCGTTCCCCAGTGGAAAGAGGGGACCTTATAGGCTTGTTTGGTAGATGTCCTCCACACTGCAATGACTGATAAGCTCTAAATTGAATCAAATAACAAGTGTGAAGGGCTCATTTGCTCAGCTTCTCTGTGTGCTTATTGGATATATTTTATGAATAATAAATTATCATAAAAATAAAACATATACCAAGGGCTTCAAAGAGGTTTTGGAAAAAGGAAATAAAGAGATTCTGGAATTTTTCCAGAATCTTTCTGAAGCCCTTTATACAACTAAAACTCCCGATATGTTTTATATTTAGCCAACTGCATTAATGGCACTTCCATTAAAAAATTAAATGTCCAATCCTAGGTTTATAAAAGGGAAGATTTCATATCAGCAAATATAAAAGTATTTTTAAAACTCTGATACCCCAAAAAAAATAAACCTAACTTTTCAGAAACATTATCATCATCACATTACTTTGATACAGAAATGAGTCACCCAGAAAATCCACTTATGCCAAGCAAATAGTAATAATAATGATAATAATGTTCTATATAAGAACATTAATAAAATGTAGATAGTGTGTATTTTAAGGAGATCATCTGGGTACAATTCTACAGCATCCTTTTCTTAAAAAGAGTATTTGCAACTCAGATAAGGGAAATGCCAGATTTCATGATTCCCACGGGAATCTTGTTGGTGTTGCTAAGAGAGATGGAGTTATCTGATCTGTGAAGCAGATCTGGTAGAATTAGTGATTAATAACCAAGAAATATATCCAGGAGAGTGACATCATGATTCAGTCAACAAAGCCAGAAGAGATTAGGATGGGCACACAGTCCTAGAACAGTGTGTCCTTGTGGGAAAGGGCACCAAGAGGCATGTGTGACCCAGTGGGAGAGGAGACTGTCACTTGCTTACCAGCCGTAATGATTGAATTCATCATCACTGAGAGGGCAAGTGTTAAATCCTATTCCTCCCATGTCCTGAGAGGGCCTCCGTTCCTTACCAGGCCTGCAGGGCACAGTAATAGAGGGCAAGTTGAAGAACCACTGGGAATTTATTCTTCAATAAGACAATTACTGCTGCATATCGAATTCCAAGAATGGATTTTTGTCAACCTGCAGAAAATTAGATCTAAGTGTTTGGTTTATTTTGTCTATGATAATATTACGAGCACCGTTCTTGATGTATGTCCGAGGCATATCAGATGACATCGATAATGCATCATAAAGATATACCTTGAATAAACAAACATGTTGGGGCGGACCAGGTTTCATAGAGTGAACTGGTGTTTGTTGCACAGCTCCTAAGGGACTAGCATGCAGGAACCTGGTGAAGCTGGCACTTCGTGGTCTTTTTCAGCCCTGAACCCTTAGTCCTTAGCCTGGAGCCCAGCGCCAGGCGAGGCTCGAACAGTATGATGTAGGAAAGTCAGGAGTTTACTGATGGCCTGCCGGGGACCTATGAGCCTTGGTCAAAATGGTAGGAGACTAGTCCACTTCTCTTCCTACCTCTGCTTAGGCTCTGTGTTGAGGACTGCTCCAGCCGTCATTCTCTTTGCCCGCTCTCTTTCTAGATCTCTTGAACAACAACAGCAGCTGTGTGTAAGAGAACAGATTCTTTTATCTGTAAAATAGAGAACTTGCCCGTTGAGTTACTATATTTAACCCCCGTGCTATATTTAACCCCCAGCATTGACTCGGTGCTTCCTGCAAAGCTAGAAGTCGTCAGAGAAACAGTTTTCTCTGATGAAGCAAGTACAGAGAGGCTGCGGAAGCCATCCTGTCCTGGCTTGGTTTGTGCACTCCCCCATCTTGCCCTTGTCAGGATTAGGGCATCAACCAAGCCAAGTTCATTGCCACGGAGTTGATTCCAACTCATAGTCACCCTGTAGGCCAGAGTTGAACTGCTCCTGTGGGTTTCTGAGACTTTAAATCTTTACAGGAGCAGACAGCCTCCTCTTTCTCCCATGGAGCGGATGGTGGGTTCGAACAGCTGAGCTGACAGTCAGCAGCCCACTACACCTCCAGGGCTCCGTTTGCCTTGGCCCACAGCTAGAGGGACTGCTGGGGTGGGGGTGGGGGGATGTGAGGCAATCCTCAACAGAACAGGAGGGAGGCAGCCCAGCAGTGTTAGCTGGGAGGACCTCCGCTGAGCGAGAACAGAAAGCTTCCCTGTGACTTGCCCTTTATCTGACCTGTGGGAAAACAAGCACTTTCTATTTCTAGTAGACCCATTGTCTCAACCGCCTTGTGTTTCTTTTGTAAACTTAATCGTTCCTTTCTTTACACCAGGCATTTAAATACTGTGAGCCCAACCCTAGCATTTCTTTGTGCCTTTTCTCGATTCCCTTTGGATACTTTGTTCCTGAATGGCACAAACTGAAACAAGCAGGGCTTTCTGACATTCCACCTCTATTTCCTTCTTCAACAACCTGTGACACCGCTTGTGGTTTCGTGTCAGTCGACTCTGGGGGGACTTCTGAAATCCGTGGAAAAATAAGAGTGAAAGGATCGTGGAGTTTCTCTGCAAACAAAGCCACCTCATAAAGAGAGCTGCAGAAATGTAACCTCACCTAGGAAGGAATTCGGAGCGTAGGATTCCCCTTTCTCATTTGACAGCTATTGGGCCTGGGGGCTGGGAGTGTTTAAAAAATGACTAAAATAAACTGTCTCTCAGCCGGTCCTTATGTGGAGGAATTAAAAGAAGATAATTATATTTACAGAAGACCTACTGGGCTACTGAGCATCCAGAGATATATTTCTATTTATAGTGATAGCATTGGGTTTTAGACACAAATCTGAGAAGTGCGTATAAAATTTGAGATTGTGTCACTTAATGACAGGCTAGGAGCCCTGGTGGTGGAGGGGTTCTGCGTTGGGTCTCTAAAAGCAGCGCCAACAGTTCAAAACCAGCAGGAAAAAGGAAAACATGAGGCTTTCTACTCCCAGAAAAGTTACAGTCTCAGAAACTCACTCCCACCCTGTTCGACAGGTTCACTATGAATCGGAATGGACTCATTCAGATAGCAGGGAGTATGGGATTTTTTTTTTTTTAAATCACAGGATGAAGATGCTGTTTCAAAAGAATTGAGTAACAGTTTTACTGTCTTTAAATTTGTCCAGGGACCAAATGATAATGTATATTAGAGGAAAGGTGTATGTGAGCAAGAAATCTCACACAGCGTCTGAGCTTGCTGGGGGGTCAGGTATGCCAGCCTTTTCCTTGTCTTGGGGGGGGGGCTCTCCTGTCCATGGGACTTTGGACTAGTTATTGTATTTCTCAGCCTTAATTTATTGGCTACTTACTAGGGATAATATCATCCTCTCTTCCTACTTCCCAAGGTTTGGATGGAGTATTAAATGGTGGACCAACTGGTTTAATTTGAGTTGAAGTGAAACTCTGAAATTTAAGGTTGTCAGGCCATGAATCATCACAAATGGAATTCTACCAAAAAAAAAAAAATCATATCATTGTAAAGGAGTGTGGAGTGGAGACCCAAATCTCATCTGTAGGCAACTGGACATCCCCTTACAGAAGGGGCGGGGGGAGGAGGTGAGCCTGTCAGGGTGCAGTGTAGCAACAATGAAACATACAACTTTCCTCTCATTCTTAAATGCTTCCTACCCCCAACCCCACACACACTACCATGATCCCAATTCTACCTTACAAATCCAGCTAGACCAGAGGATGTACACTGGAACAGATAGGAACTGGAAACACAGGGAATCCAGGATGGATGATCCCGTCAGGACTAGTGGTGAGAGTGGCGATACCAGGAGGGTGCAGGGAAGGTGGGGTAGAGAGGGGAAACCGATTATGAGGATCTATATATAACCTCCTCCCTGGGGGACAGACAGCGGAAAAATGGGTGAAAAGGGACATCGGACGGTGTAAGATAGGACAAAATAATAATAATTTATAAATTATCAAGGGTTCATGGGGGAGGGAGGAGGGAGGGGGAAAATGAGGAAGTAATACCAAGAACTCAAGTAGAAAACAAATGTTTTGAGAATGATGATGGCAACAAATGTACAAATGTACTTGACACGATGGATGGATGGGTGGATGGATGGGTTGTGATAAGAGTTGAACGAGCCCCCAATAAAATGATTTTAAAAAACACACAACAACAAATGGAGTTCTAAATAATGAAGACCCTGATGTGCTGGGGTGTGTGGGGTCCACCCCAGTTTGGGGTTTGGTTTTGGTTTTTAATGTGGGTTTGGAGTGTCCTGCAGAGAAATTTAGGATGAAAAGTGTTGTATTTTCAAATGACCTGTAACTCAGCCAAATTAATTCTTTGCTACAAAGAAAAGGAATGTGAGAAATGTTAATAACCCTTCATGGGATTCTTACTATGTGGAGAGTATGGTATAGATTGTATGCAGGATATCAAAGAACCAGGAGGCATGCTCTTCTCCTTTTAGAGCCAGAAAGAACAAAAACAAATGTGTTGTGTCCTCCTTTTCCCTGTCCTGTTCCTGCATGATGATGCTCTGCCAGCAGAGCCCAGATCGTGACAGTATTACAAACTCACCCTCTGCACCTTAGAAGTGATTTTTCTTTCCTAATGTAATACATTTGCCCTGCTCCAGAATTTTGGCTGTATAAGACCATTTTTTGAAGTCCGAAATGGAAACTGACAAATCCATGTTTCAATATTTCAAATGGAAAAAAAAATTTTTTTTGAAAGAACAAGTCTCCAATGAATTTAACTACTGACCAGCTCTTTTGGTATGTCTTATTTTGAGGAAAGTGGAAAATTCTTATTTCCAAATGCTGACGTCCACCTTTCAAATACTTTTTTTTTAAGGTAATTGTATGCATATGTTTGTTCGAAATGATGTGCTTTTAAGGATGTGCCTCTGTTTCCCTCCAGTAGATGACACTGTGGTGGCCATTCCCTATGGAAGTAGACATATCCGGCTTGTTCTGAAAGGACCTGATCACTTGTGTAAGTAGATCCAGTTGTTTCCCCCGAGGATTGGAAATCTTGCTCATCTTTATTTATTTCTTGTCCCACAAGAGGTTAAAACACAGGCATTGCTACTCTATCATACGATGGTCTTTTGAGCACTAATGTCTAATAAAATGGCAGAGATCTCTGTGATCATTATCTCTACAGATATCCTGGAAAATCGGGACTAGATGCTCTCAGGAGGTTCTCCGGGAAGCCGCGCTAGTGCTTTTGTGCGTGTTAGTGCGCATGCGCTCTCTCCTTGGCCTCCAATCAAGCCAGCCACGTTCCCATCTCTTCTTTCCATTTCCTTTCTTCCCAGCCTCCCGCTCCTGCAGTCTTTCTCTTTTTCTTCTATGACGTCATCAATTCAGGGGAACCCGGACACACCAAGTAGTTTTAAAATGGTGCCATTTGAAGAAAACCGCTATGGTATAATACATGACCCATGTATTACAGACAATGCAGGGGCCTGAGCGCTTCAAGCAGTGGTTCTCAACCTTCCTAATGCTGTGACCCTTTAATGCCGTTCCTCATATTGTGGTGACCCCCAACGATCAAATGATCTTCGTTGCTACTTCATCACTGTCATGTTGCTACCGTTAGGAATCGGGCGGCCCTGTGAAAGGGTCATTCGACCCCCAAAGGGTTCACCACCCACAGGTTGAGAACCGCTGGCTGAAAGAAATCAGTTGGGATGGAAGAGTACCACGGCTTCATCAGAGCTTGTATGCTTCCATGTAAGACCTGAGACCATCAAGGCGCAGCCACAGTGTTTGTTTTTATTGTTTAGTGCTATTTGGATGGAGTCTTACAAGTTACAAGCAGAAAACTATAGGCTATAAACCTTGAAGGAGGTGGGAGAGGCGATGTTCGCATTTTCTTTGAGTTCAGGTTCACCAACAGTCTTCCCCTCAGCTGGTCCTGGGGCTTCTCTCGTCTCCTCCATAGTGATGGGTCCAACGTTGCTCCGAGGCCCTGTAGGGAGTCCTCCTTTGGGCTGGTTGGTTGGTTCCCTGTCTTCCCACACACACGCCTGTGAAGCCCATTTGAGAAGCAAACTTTATCTTTTGGCACTGGGCATGTGAATAAAATCATGTGCTGAAGACAAGCACAAGGAAGACAGATCGCAGCCTGTAAAAGCTAATTTTAGATAGACCAGAGCGAAAAGCAGGGCATGGCAGAGGGAGGACGTGAGGGGTCATGGGAATGAAGGGAATCAGGAAGATGCAGTTGAAGCAAAGTTGGGAGAGGCTGATAAGTTGCCTTCTATGGCTTCTCCTTCTTTCTTGTCCCCAGCAAGTCTATGAAATACGGTATTCACATGCCACAGGCTGGTGTGTGCGCTTGCACGCTTACCAGTTCATGATTCACGTGTCCCTTGGAGAATGGGGCGGATCCAACTGCTGACGCACGGCCCCACTCACAAACAGTGTTTGTCTGAGCAGCGAGAAGCTAAAGTTTCTGAGCCAGGGTCACCACCATGGGGGGACTGACCACTCACTCGCTGCGGAAAAGACACCCCAAAGGCAGAGCACTGAGGGGAAATGTCATTTTTCTGCATAACGGCATGAGTCACCCAACTCTCCTCATTGTGGGATCACAAAGAAACGGAAAAAGTGAACTTGTTTAATTGTCCCGAGGATGGTAAAGCTGCAAGCAGTGTTCAAAACTAATACAAAGCCATCGCCGCCGTCGGCTTGCTTTCCTAGAACAACCATGCTGTTGATGGCCTCTGCGTAGCGACAGATTTGTGTATGTCCTCGTTCATGGAACAGGATTCAGCAAAATTACCCTGGGGGTAAATGCCACTGTTTCTCCTGCATTTCTCTGTCCTTCCTGCCCAGATGCTAGTCTACTGGGAGGCCAACTTTAACTGTTTGAGAGTCAAACTAAGCATGAGTAGGCACTCATTTTTAATGAGACAGACCCAGAGAAGGACAACTGGTAGACTAGAGAGAGAATTGATCCAGATGCTAAGGCCTCGGCCCTTCGAGTCTTCAAAACCTAAGTTAATTTATGTCCTGGAAGGCAGGAGGGTCTCAGTGAATGAAGGCTGGGAGAAGGAGACTCAGCATTGCTGCTTTTCTCTGATATGATGACTTCTTCCCTCCACAAAGCCATTGATGGTCCTTATGATCTTCGGTATTAGGAGTGGGGAACCATTTTTTGGCCCAGAGCTCTTTGGATATTTATAATCATCATTCATGTGCCATAGTGGTCAAACATTTCAGGAGCTCACTCCTAACGGGTTGACTGAGACTGCTTCTCTTGCATGAGGATGCGATGCCAGTTGGTATTGGTGATTTCCTGGGCCTTGTATGGCCCTTGGGGATAGGGGAGTGGTGCATACCCTATTCTAAGAGGAGAGCTATTCGGATGAAGCTGGAGTAGGAAGCCCAGGGGCCCAGCCAGGTGCCCCATCTACCTTCTGAAGAACCACCAAGAGTCAGACCAGTTATCCATCCTGATATCAAATAAAAACAAACAAACTGTCTCCCATCAGGTCAATGCTTGCTCCCAGTGACCCGCTCAGACAGGGTAAAACTGGCCCTGGGAGTTTCTGAGACTGGAACTCGTGAGAGGAATAGAAAGTCCTGTCTTTCTCCTGAAGAACAGCTGGTAGTTTTGAACTGCTGACCTTGCAGTTAGCACCCCAATGTGTAACCACTGTGCCGCCTGGACTCCTATTTCCTTGATTTAGGGGCAGTTATTCTAAATCGCCACCCAGTCACCTGAGGGCTCAGCACCATTTCCTCTAAAACACACATCACAATGACCATCTTTGCCAGCATGTTCTGATTTCCTACAATAAAAGATGCTTCATCAGCTTCATCATTGGCCAAAGTCAGGTTTTAAAGCACCAATTATCAAGAAGCTCTTCCTTCTATCGGAAATACATGAAAAGCATCTTCTATGAGTACAATACTGAATTAAGTTTTTCAAAAAGGATTAAAAACGAAATAAAAGGCTCAAAGGGTTTGTTTCAGGCTAAAAGGAGAGTGCTGTCTGAAGCCTCGGTAGTGTCTTTATGTAAACATTAGTACGCGTGTAGTAGATATGATCAAGCATGTACATGTACACAACTGAATGAAGTGTTAAAGAGGCATTAAAAGGAAAGACTAAGAGATTGGGGCTGGCTTTATATATCTAGAGCTTCTTTATTTTGATCAGTAGCGTACACGCAGTAACCAAAGTCAGGGCCCAAGGGAAGTCAGATGCACACACCGAACCTCCTAGGGCACAAAGCACTTTGGAGGATCTTCTAGGCGGAGGGCCATAAAGTCTAAAATCAGCACGATGTGTGCGAGCCCTGGCTGAGCCAACGGAATGGTGATCTCGGAAAGCGTGGTACCCAAAGGTTTGACAGGGAGCCTTGCCTGCTTGGAAGACTTGGGTCATTAATTTTATTTTATTTTCTCATTTATAGCTTAACCTTCTATGTGATCCAGAGGTACCTATATATTTTGTTTATCTCTGAATTGCAGTTTTGTTCGTCATTTAAACAATGATGCCTCCCGACTTTGTTGCATGGAATGTGTTGCATGTGGTCTTTGGTCGTCCTGGGAACATCTTTTCTTTCCACTTCTTGTGTTTGATTGTGTAGATCTGGAAACCAAAACCCTGCAGGGAGTCAAAGGTGAAAGCAGTCTCAGCGCTACAGGCACCTTTTTGGTGGACAATTCTAGTGTGGACTTCCAGAAATTTCCAGACAAAGAGATACTGAGAATGGCTGGACCACTCACAGCAGACTTTATTGTCAAGGTGAGCCCGCTTGGGTACCGTACTTTTGATCCAAATTGGTGTTATTTTTAATCGCTTGAAAAGAGAGATGCCTTGGATTTTGACAGAGGTTTGGAAAGCCTGTTCTCCCGGAAAGGGTTTCATTTGAGGGTGTTGAGTTAGCTACAGCCTGGCCTTTACATGAACATCTGATATTTTAATGTCTAAGGAAATGTACATGTTATTCAATACAAAGACTACTCAAATGCCAACATATCACTAGCTGGCAGATACAAACTATTTCTAAAGCTTGTTAGGATGTAATCATTGGCTCATCTAGAGTGTCCTCAATACAAGAGAAAACAACAGTCTGACGAGCTGTAGACTTGGTCAGGGCACCATGCTTCAATTGCACGCTCTGTTTTCTGTTGTCCTGGCAGAAGGAAGACGTTGCTACCTTCCATCAGAGCTTCCTTATTCTTTTAGGTAATATGAAACATATTGCTGGAAGCAACATACATATTCTATAGGGAAAATGCACACACTAGGAGAGCATGTAGAAATCACAATAAAGGAAAACATTTTTTCCCCTCCTTCAGTAGGTCAGAAGGACCTGAAGGATTTCAGCTGTAAAGCTGTAAAACTTGTAATGGGTCCAGGACTCCATACATTTTTCATCATGGGACCTAGAGCCAAAGGACATTTGATTTAAGCTAATGCTTGATGACCCCATGGCCGCGGGAAGCAAGAATGCATATAGGAAAACATAATAGGCAGTGAGATTAGACGGAAAGAGTGTTCCAGAGTCCTGTCCTCTGTCTTCCTCTGCACGTTGGTTCTTTTTAATCCAGTCCAGATGCCAGCCACATGCACGGTGTGAGAACAAGACGCTTCAAACCAGCAGAGGCGGCTCATGGTAACAATGATGCTGTGGGCCGTTTGGTAATTTCACGTAAGCGAATAAAATAAAGAGTTCAGGGTTACCTTTGTTTGTCCAAGCTCTTAGAGACCTGTCGAGTGGGCCATTTGTACTGTAGTAATTTCCCTAGTGGCCTTGCAAGAGTTAATACCCTTCCCAGGGTGCCTAACATACTGAAAATACACGTTTTGACTTACTAATATTATTCATATTGGAATCGTTCGTAGCATTGTCAAAGATATTTCATAGATCCAGCTGCCTTCTGCACATCACCACTTGCATGTCCCATAGGCACAATGAGCTCAGCATATCCAAAATTGAATTTGTGAAGCTCTCCAAAACCTACTTTATTGTCCATATTTCTCGTCTCATAGAAAAATGCGCTATCAAAATGGCCCTTCACACACCTCTGATTCACACTAATTTTCCCCTTTTTTAATACTCTTAGACAGATATTATGTCAGTTATCACCTGAATAAAGGTCTGTCATGGCAAATATTATAGCATATACAATTTTTTAAAAATCAATTTATTGGGGCTCATAAAATTCATCACAATACATAGATCAATTGTGTAAAGCACATCTATACATTCGTTGCCCTCATCATTCCCAAAATTCGCTTGCCTCTTGGGTTCCCGGAATCAGCTCATTTTCCTTCCACCCCCTCCCCCTCCCTTCCTCTGCCCCCCGCCCCCATGCACCCTTGATAATTTATAAATTATTATTATATCTTATATTACACTGCCCGGCGTCTCCCTTCACCTACCCCTCTGTTGCCCATCCCCCAGAGAGGAGGTTATATGTAGCTCCCTGTGATCAATTCCCCCTTTCTACACCCCCCTTCCCTCCTGGAGCATATACAATTTTTCGAAAAGCCCTGGTGGCATAATGGTTCATGGGGTGGGCTGCTAACCACAAGTAAGCAGTTCAAAACCACCAGCCACTCCTCCTTGGGAGAGACCTAAGGCTTTCTATTCTGTAAAGAGTTACAGTCTCGGAAACCCAGAGGAACCATTCTATGTGATACATATATAGTCATATATGATAAAGTACACAGGAGACAGCGTTATGGAGTCTCCTGAACACAAAAACTGCTGTGAAATGGGGTTGAAGAGCTTCAATTCATAAGGGGAAAGCTCAGTCAGTTGGCATAATGTCGTTCATAAAGATAATGACCGTGATTCTAGTTCAGTGAGGAGTGTCTAGTGCCTTGTGAGTTTTGAAGGGGCCATCTCAGATGGTCTTTTCCTGTCTGGAGCAAAAGAAAATGAAGGGAACATACAGACTCTGAGAAGAAATTAGTCTGCGTGTCTAACAAGCCCCGCGGACCACGGCCGCCTCTAGCCTGCAGCTGACCTAGGTGGTACCTGGCTCCCACTGTCCACCATGCTGACCAAAGACTCCATGGAAATTCCCAAACAGAATGGGAGAACCATGTAGAACAAAAATCAAGTCCCGGAAAGACTGGACTGACTGCAGTAACAAGGCCTGGAGGAACCCTGAGACCATCGCCATACAATCCCCTTTGAACTCGGGACTGAGGTCACCCCAGAGGTCTCCTTTCAGCAAAAATAATTAGATTGGCCTATAAAAGAAACAAAATAAACTGTGAGCAGTGTGCTCCCTTAAACAGGTAACTGTATGAGCTCCAGTAGCCCCCATTTCCCCGAAAGTAACGATGAGACAGCGAGGCAGGACAGAGAAGCTGGAGGCAGAGAAACAGAATGGGCGTGAAGAGAATGCGGACACACACTGTGAAAACTGTGCCCAATTACACAGAATAATTTGGACCCGAGGTGTGAAATGGGGATCTAATGTACTGTGTAAGCTTTCACCTAACTGAAGCACAGGAAAATGTTCCACCCAAAAGTCAGTTCTACCCTTTTCCCGCTCGACCTCTCTTCTCCCGAGATGCTCTCTTTTCGTGTTCTTGGCACCACTGTCTTTGTTGAAAGCTTCATATTTCTGCACCTTAATTCATCACAGTGAACACTGGATTTGGTTTCTGGCCCCTGATCTATTGTCAGAATGGGTCTTCTCAAATCACAACTTCCCTCTTGATCTTGCATACCTCCACTTAGTTTGTTTGTTTTGACTAAAATGCAAGATTGTTAACATAAAAAATGTTGACACTGGTTCTAGATAGTGTTCTGGAATCCCCTTTCCTGACCATCTTTAAAACTGGACTAAATTGTTATCCTATTTGTTGGAAATCTGTCCCAAAAATTCAGACTTAAGACATTGGCTGTACCAACATTTTTGGCAATGGCAATGGAGTATGTAGTAGAGAGTTAGGCATTCTGGGATTGCTTATATACCCTGCTTACTACTGTGTGGCATTGATTGTATTGTATGGCTTCACTTTCCTGAGCTGTTAAATCCTCTGTAAAATGGTAATAACACCTATCTCATAGAATAGCTGTAAAAGATCCTATGAAGCGATGTAACTAGAAATTCATGGAACCAAATTGCTTACTTTGCATGTCTCTGAAGTAGTGTGACACCCAGTCAAACTAGCCCTAACACTCCATCTGCAAATTGGCAGAAAGCTGCTTCTTAGGAGGAGGTCGGAGAGTGATTACTTTTAAACCTGTGTTCATAAGAAAGGCATTCTGGTAGTATAGTGGGTTACGCACAAGGCCCTTAAAGATCTGAAGTCTCAGAAGCCCAGAACTCTCCGGACTGAGCGTTCTCTTCTCTGTCCTGTAGAGTCGCTATGGGCTGTACCTGTGTCTATAGCAGTGAGAGGGTTTTGATACCTAGGAGACAACTTGATGTAGCTGCAGCTATTAAGAAAGCTCAGGAGGCACAATGGTTAAGTGCTTGCTGGCAACCAGAATGGTCAGCAGTTCAGACTCACTCAACAACTCCAGGAGACAGCCCTGGGGACCTGCTCCCATAAAGATGACAGCCTGAAAAACAAACCCGATGTTGTTTGACTCTTCACATGTGTTGTTACATGTAAACAACTTACAGGCACCTGATGACCCAATGCTAGCGAGGCAAACGCATGGAAGAGCAGTCTGGCTGTGACATTTGGCAGCACGTTGATCATTGGGAGTGACTGGGCTGTTGAGTGAACGACTGCCTGGCTTGGTGTCCCCTGCCCCTGTGTCCCACCACGTGCACCCCCTCGGTAGCCGCAGCCCCAATAAAAGAGTGAGCTTCACAGCTAGAGGAGGATCCTTCTCAGTCCTACTAACACCTAAACCAGCTGGCAGTCTGTCAGTCCCAACTCATGTCAGCCCCATGCAGAACCTTGTACATGATTTGTCACCGAAAAAACCTGTTCTTATCCTAAGAGCTAATAACAGGAGAAACGCTGGAGAAAAACCTTATCCATGAAGCCGGGGGAGCTGAGTTCAATAAGTACATTTATGGGAAGTCCATGTGTATCACCCCTGTAGGAGCTAGTCCACCCTGCGCTTAATGGCGGAGACAGATACACTCTTCAATATGGTATCTGCCCTCTGCCATTTGCCAGATACAATGCAGGATCTACATTTTTGAAATAGCAGTACATTGCAGCACGCAACTGAATGCCAAAAGAAAATGAGCAGGGGGGAAAACCATAGACTCTCGCTAGGGGCCACTGAGATTAGTAAAACCTTTGTGAAACTTGGGCAACTTACAAATCTTACTGTAATTGATTTTCTCCAGTGGAGGCTGAGCTTGGCAAATGTTGAATTCCAGGTTGGTTTCAGCCTGCCACCCAGCGTGTTTCTAGATAATTCCCCATGCCAGTCAAACACTGTTCCACAAATGAAAAGTCATTGTCTGCAGCCAAACATTCTTGGAAGGAAAAGCTTGCATCAGTTATAGGGCAGGGGGGAGGGGGCGAATGGAGAGAAATAGAAATATGAAGCGCAGATAGTGAGTGCTTACTACTCAACTTCCAAAGATGGCAAGCTTCCCCCCCGCACCCCCCAATAAACAAGCCCCTGTTTGTTGCTAGTTTCCGACAGGTTCTAACTGAGCTAAATCGACGTCTAGTATTTCTTACTGGATGTCTGTCACAGATCGCTTTGCCAACTGCACCACAGAATTTCCGACACGGAGGCAAATAACCGAGTCCTCCCTTTTCTTCCCCTGTGGCATGGTGGCTGTGCATTGGACTGCGATCTGCAAGGCCTGTGGTTCAAAACCACCAGCTGCTCTTTGGGAGAAAGACAGAGCTTTCTACTCTCGTAAGAGTTAGTCTCAGAAACCCCCAGGAGCAGTCCTTCCCTCTCCTACAGTGTCACTATGAGTGGACATCATTTCATTGGCAGTGAGTTGAGCACCTTTCTTCCACTGCTGAGTGGTGGGACCCCTGCCCTGGCCTGGCCCCACCTGGCTGTCACTGGCCATTCAGCTTCTTCCCCTCAGCACTGGAAGCTCAGGTCTGCTCTCCCCCTCAGCATCTCCTTCCTGATGTATACTTGTGTTAGTCTGGGTACTTTAGAGAAACAAATCCACAGAAACTCATGTAGAAGAGAGAGTTTTATATAAAGGGTAAGTGTGCATCAAGAAAACATCCCAGCCCAGTGCTGCCCAAGCCCACAAGTCCAACATTAACCCATTAACCCATGTGTCCGACACCAATCTACAAAGTCCTCCTCCATCTCACAAAACACACACTATGATGCGGACTGCAGGAGGAAAGCCAAATCAGTGAACGTGTAAGCATCTCAGTGCTGGCGAAAGTCTCCACACGGCTGCTCCAGCACCCAGGGCTGCATCAGGGTAGGTCCATGCAGCTTCTCCTCAGGGATGTCTTGCAGGAAGTGAGCCTTGCAAGCTAACGCAGGGAGCTGCACCCTAATCCAACCATCAGAAAGCAAGAGACCCAAGAACTTGAAAGTCAAGGCTCACCATGCCATTTATCCCTGTGCCTTTCAATTACCCCCACATGTGTTTATCGGCCAAGTTGGCACAATAAACTAACTTACCTCAAACTGTATACCTTTTGTGTTCCATCCCTAATGTCAAACAGAGTATTCTTAGGGAAGCATCTCTGACCTCTCATTGTAGTCAAGGAGGGGGCAGCTTGAGCCATAACCACTTTCTCATTGAGACCTAAGTCAGGGGCCTATGAGCTGACATGCGGCCTCTTCCGGTATTGAGGTGTGGCATGTTCAGAGGACTGGGGACTCAGCGATGAGTCTGAGAGTAGCGTTGATGCTGACAATTTATCATTCACTTTATTGCACACTCCGTGGCCGTGTGGTGAGTTCCAGGTCGGGCTGCTCACTGCACGGTCATCAGTACGAAAGCACCACCCCCTCTGTGGGCAGATGAGACTTTCTGCCCTGGGAGAGATGGACAGCCTTGCAGACCCACAGGGACCACTCTACTCTGTCTTACAGGGTCGCTCGCAATTGCGACGGACTCGCAACGAGTTTGAGGATACTCCCTGATTTTAGCATTTCCCACTTATCGAATGAGCAGATATTTGCTTGGCTGTGTTTAATTTTAGTAGTAGCTTGTATTTTTTCAAGCCCTTCCCACTAGATTCTCCAGCTCAAGATGCAGCAAAGGAAAGCGAAAAATAGAATAAAGGAAGTACTTTTGGATGAGGGTTGTTTGTTCATGAAACTGCCGTTTTTCATGAAGTTGGTGAAGATAAGTACTACTGACGTCAAGAAAACTAGTAGGTGTATGCAAAAAGCCTGACAGCCATTCGAAACAATGGTCACAAAGAGTAGTTTGGAAATCTGGAAGTGCTTACAAGGGTCATGACCAGTGTAGAGTTCACTTGTGAGTTGATTCACCCATTCATTTACTCAGTAACTGCTTGAATGTGTCATGAATTGAAGTTTGTCTCCCAAAAATGTGTCACCTTGGCAAGACTGTGAATCCTGGGATGATGTGATTGTTCTCCATTTATGGTCTGATGTAATTATCCTCCATTTGGTGAAGTATCATAAATCGTAACCTCTGCCGATTCCAAATCATCATGACCCTCTGATATAGAAGAGGAATTAAGCAAGATTATTTGGACAGAGATAAGGATCCCTCGATTGATTCTTATCAAAAAACTTTGTTCATTTACAGTCTGTTTCCAAATGGAAGTATGTCAGAAATCAAATCACACTCAATGTGTTTAAGTCGATCCTGCCACGTAGTCATCCTGTAGGACACTGTAGAACTGCCCCGGAGGATTTCCAAAGCTGTGACCTTTTCGAATCAGACTGCCACGTCTTTCTCCCATAGTGCAATTGGTAGATATGAACCTCTGACCTTTCAGTTAGCTGCCGAGCATTTTAACCACTTTGCCACTGGGAGTCCTAATGCAATTTGCAGCCTCGATAGCTATGATCATCATGCATCATTTTCATGAACCTCATTAAGGACAATATTCTTTTTAAGTTACTTGGTTCGTGTGTTTTGGTCTTTTTTTTCATCAACAGTTGTTTACAAAACCTCACTCTTACTAACAAAGCATCCCATCATTCCTTCCTTCCTCCTAGGACATGTTATTCTTATTTTTAACTTCCACAGAGCTGAGAAAAGGACTTGCCACATTTTTTTTTTTTTTTGCCTTTTTCACCAGACCTGAAGATGAGGCAGATTATGAACAGACATTCCAGAACCAGGCTTTCAGAAGGTTCTGTTACAGTCTCCTTACCTTGACACGGAGAGTCTCTGCCTTTTCTTCCCACTTCCCTAGGACCCCATCACAGAAAGGACCCCTGTAGAATCTGCCATGTTGGGCTCTTTCTTCTTCTGTTTTCATGGAGCCCATTCAAATGAAAGGAGCCCTGGTGGCGTAGTGACTACTCATTGGGCTGTGATCCACATGGTCGGGAGTTCAAAGCCACCAGCAGCTCTACAGAAAAAAACAAGGCTTTCTACTCCTGTAAACAGTTACAGTTTTGGAAACCCAGGGGGGTGTCACTGTGAGTCTGCATCCAGTCAATGGCAATGAGTTTGGGATTTGTTGTTGCCCCAAGGAAAGCCTTCTTACAGTTTGGAGCACCATAACCACACATCCCAGGAGAGCAATAGGCTGAGGGCAAAAAAGTTTCCCAACAAATGTGATTAATACAACGTCCCTAAGCAAGCCATTAGGTATCCTGTATTGACACACAGGTGGAGAAATAGGTATCAGTAGGAATGGCCCCCATTTTGTGAAAGACTGTATTGCTTCAGCTGGTTTGTTTTAAGGTAGAAAATGTATATTGCCACGTGTTCTAATTAGAAAGGACTGAGATTCCAGATCACATGGCGTTTTGTCGCTTTTCTCCCTTCCTCTTTTCTTCTCTTTTCCAGCTCTCCTGGACTGTCTAAGGAACATTCCCATCTTCCCACCCAAACTTCAAATGCTCACCTTGGGTGATTGTTAGGTGCCAGCAAGTCGATTTTCCACCCCGTCTTAAACAGTAGAACTCTCCGATAGGGTTTTCTTGGCTGTCATGGTTCCAGAACCCATCACCATTGCTTTCCCCCAGAAAGCGGCTGAGTGGGTTTGAACTGCCAATCTTCTGCTTCACACTTAACCTTTGCACCACCAGGGGACCTTGACCTAGGATTTCCACCAAAAACAAATACCCCACTGCCACTGAGTCAATTCCAACTCACCCTATAGGACAGAGAAGAACTGCTCCTTGGTGGGTTTGAACCACCAACCTTGTGAGTATCAGCCATAATCACAATTGACTTGGGATCTATTGGCCTTGTTTCTGTAATGATCCCATTTTCTCTCTGCATCCTCAGTGTTTAAACGGCTTCTTAAATGCAGTAGCATCCAAAGTGTTTGATCCAATGGTGAAACTCAGTAGCAGAAAAGTAAGGTGTGTTAGTCCGGGTAGACTAGAGAAACAAATTCATAGACACACATATGTGTATAAGAGAGAGCTTTATATAAAGGGTAATTGTACATTAAGAAAGCATCCCAACCCAGTCCAGCCCAAGCCCATAAGTCTGATATTAGACCATATGTCTGATATCAATCTATAACGTCCTCTTCAGACTCATGAAACACATGCAATGATGCCAAATGCAGGACCATCATAGGCCAGTGGGTAGAAAGTCTTTGACTCCAGTGGCATTGTAAGCATCCCAGCGCTGGCAGGGGTCTCTATGTGGCTTCTCTGGCTTCAAAGGTCTGGTTGCATCAGGGTAGGTCCATGTGGCGTCTCAAGCTTAGGGCACTAGGGTAGTTCCATGTGTTTTGTGAGCTGCAGTGTCTCCCAGGGAGTGAGCAGGGAGAGAGAGAGACAGGGAGAGTGTCCCCATCTCCAAGGAGGAACAATACAGGAGTTCCAGAATTCTCAGGAGAAGGCCAGGCCCATACAGAGGCCTCATTGGCTACAACCTGATTGACAGGCAAGACTCCACTCCTTCACTCTTAATCCTATCAAGTCCCAAAGTGCCACCAGACTATGTAACTACCACATAAGGCTATCTATTGAAAAAGAAGAAGAAAAGCCAAATCCATCAACTTACCCTAAGTAAGCACAATTTTGCATGAAAATAAATTTCTTACGTTAGTGTTTTTCAGTTGGTAATTTTGCACACTAAAATATATGAATCAGTAAATCACTAGGAATTCCCATGTATGCTTCTAAGTGGGAGAACTGCTTCATTCTTTTTTCTCTTAACCAAATGTTGTATCTTTCATTTCCTGCAATGTATGACATGTATAATTTTTAATGGCTTATTTCTAAAACTGCACTGAAAAATCCACACAACTTTATCTGTCATCTTTGAGATGGTGGGACTAGAGAAGAAAATGGGAATAGATCACTTGGAATAAAATTCTACTGGAATCGCAAATTGAGACATGGCTCTCCCTTGCTCTACGGCAACAGGACAGAGATGGGGTAGCCATAGTGATGGTATGCAAGGACCACTTTCTGGTTAAATTGCCACATCTCTTCTGATACAGTTACATCCCCAGCTATAAGCTATCACGCCTGGTCCAAAATTGCAAGGGACCCAGAGGGCACCCCATGGTCACCCTACTTCTTCCCCTTTCCTGTTGTCTCCTGCAGATCCGTAACTCGGGGCCCGCAGACAGTACAGTCCAGTTCATCTTCTACCAGCCTATCATCCACCGATGGAGGGAGACGGATTTCTTTCCTTGCTCAGCCACCTGTGGAGGAGGTAATGGTATTTGCCTATCCCATTAACTCTTGGTTTCTATAAGGAAAGATGTAGCTATTAAAGGGTTCAGGAATGTTGTCATGGGAGACGTTCAATGCTGTGGTAAATAGGTCCTTTCTTCTCCATGAGATCAAGTCCCAAAACCCTAATGTCAGGCAGAAACCTCTGTCCATATGCCCCATGAGTGGAGCCTTTTCTACAGAATTCCATTAGACCAAACAACCTGTGCTCCTTCCCTTCCCTCCATAGAAGTGTCATAGCTGAACAACAGTTTGAGGTGATTCCATTTACTTGAAAAGCAACTAATTATCTGACTAAAGTGAGTTCATGTCTTCTAGAACCCGCAGTTATAATATCGTGGGAGGAAATATTTTATTTTGGTGGGGGAAGGGGAATTGTGCCATAGAAATAGGATCTGTGATTTCTTGGCTCCACTCTGTCATTCGTGCATTAAAAGGAATGACATTTGCCTTAATTTTTTTTTTTTAACTGAAGTACTTCTCTCTAGAAAAGTCACAAAAAGCATATCCCGTCATGCCTGCTGCATCAGCAACATTCTGTGTTACTAGCTAAGGTTGCCACCGCTACCCCATTGTTGACTCTTCTTAATGTAAGGGCTGCCTAATAATCGCTCTGCATTGCTTCACCGTAACTCATTCAGCCAGTCCCCTCTAGCAGGTCATTTTGTTCATTTCAACCTTTCTACTATGCTAATGAATAACTTCATGCCTAAGTATTGTTGCTCCTTTCAGAGTTTGATCCTTGGCACCCTCCTCAGGAGCGAGGTTACTAGATTAAAGCATTGCAGATTTTTTTGTGGCTGTTGGCATATATTATCCATTTTTTTTCCAGAAGGTTAACCAGAAGTATGGATATGTTTGTTTCAGAGCCAACTGAGTCAGCATTTGTGGACTATCATCTTTCTCAAGCTTGATGCATCTAATGGACATAGAATTGTCTGTATCTTCCTTGAGAGACCAGCTCATCACATAAATTCTGGCTCCAGCTTTATGGGGGCCACTTGAAGCTGCTTACTCCTGTAGGCTGTTGTGGTTAGGTGTTAGCTACCCTTGTGTCGATTCCAGCTCACACACGGGTGACCACATGTGTGCACAGATAGAAAACATGGGCTGTTCACAGGGCCATGACCCTTGGGAAACAGATCAGTAGACCTTACTTCTTTAGTGTCTCTGGCTGGGATTGGTTCGCACATAGATCTTACTAGATTATGTAGACAGAAGATAAGAAAGCTGGTATTTCCAAATGGAGACCCGATCATCCACCAGTTTTTGTAAAGCAGTTAGAATGTGTTGTTTCTTAACTGTTTTTAGCTTAGTTATCGCTATCTACCTATTGTGTGTAGATCATTAAAAATTTGGTCCTGTGGAGCAACGTAGGATTTGAGCTTAATGGTGGCGATTTTAAAAAGCCAGTGAGTCCTTTCCTCGTGTGGTTCAGTCACTACTAAGTCAATATTAGGGTAGCACCACAGTAGAATAGTGCTCCCAGTTCCTCTACCTACCCTGAATAGAAACGTGTTTTGTTTGAAAGTGAACCCTCAGTTGCTCCGATGTTTTCTGGGAATATATGATTTTGATACATCTTTTAAGCACAGGAAAACATTTCAAAGAAAGAAATCTGCAGAAATTTATATTTTTTCTTTATTAATTTTTAAATGAAAATCATACATTTTTGAGAAGCAGCAACTCTATTATATATCCACCCACTCTTCTAGTTTCACATAGAGCTGCTATTGGAATCTAATTTCACTTACCTTGACAATGACTCGCTCTCTATAGAATAAGGCAATGAATGTTAAAGTCATATAGCTTCAGCCCCTTTGAATCTCACATTCCCCACATCCAAATGAAGAAGTAGAGCCATCAGTGATTGCAAAGAGTTTTAGCTATCGAATCTTTCCTTAGAAGGAAACCTCACTGGCAAGCCCAAATAAAGGGAAAATTGTTCTGGTGCAGACATCAGTGAGGGAAATGTGCAGGGACTTTCTGAAGAAATTAATTCTATCCTCTCCCACGCTCCTAGTTCGTATTCAGTCGGTTGTTCTGATGAGGACAAACAGTGTTGCAGGTGCTGTCGTTAGATATCATCAGTCTATTCCAACTCACAGCTACCCTACAGAACAACACCACACTACCCCATCCTGCACCTTCATGACAATTGGTGCTTTGGGATTCCATTGTTGTCATCGCTGTGTCAACTCAACTCTTGGAAGGTCTTCTGCCTTTTATTAACCATCTCCCTTACCAGGGATGATATTCTTCAAGGACTAACTCCACCTAATGACATGTCTAAAGTATGTGACATGAAGTCTCACCATCCTTGCTACCGTGGAGCATCCTGGCTGTACTTGCTCCAAGACACTGTTGCTCATTCTTCCGGCAGCCGGTGCTCTAGCCAACATTCTTCAGTAACAGCGTAATGCAAAGGCATTAATTCTTCTCCAGTCATCGGTATTGATTGTCCAGCTATCTAATGTATGTGAGATTCCTCATGTGTTTGGGTGTTGAAAAATACAAGGTAGAAAGATAGTAGCGGTTAGGTGCTGTTGAGTTGATTTTGACTCAGAGCAACACAGTAGGACGTTGTAAAACTGCCTGGTAGGGTTTCCTAGGTTCTAATGTTCACAGAAGCAGGTTCTCCCTCAACCCTGCTGGGTGAGTTTGTGCCACCAGGGCTCCTGTGGCTTGATTTAAGGGCGTTGGTCCTCAAGGTGACACCCTTGCATTTTAACAGTTAGAGAGGTGTGTGACGGGCCTTGGCTACCTTTAATTACCTTAGGGTGCCTTAGAAAATGCGATGAGCTGGTGATTTAGGGGTATTTGCTTAATTTTAGTTTGAGGTTCTCATTTCACACAAACTCTTAAGTGCTTCAAATCAACATTATTGGACTGACAAATGAAGATTTTGAAAACTCACCATCTCAGATTTATAGCTTGCCTATTATTTGTGCATACATTGTACTGCACGATAGAGTCTGGTTTTGACCACAAATTAAAATACAGGGGGGAAAAGAATCATCTGTTTTAGAGTAGAATGGAATATGAAAATAAAGGCGTAGTACTTACTCTAAAATAAAAGTTCGCTACTTGTTTTTCTTATAAACGGATTTAACAGAACATGTGTTCTTAGCCATTACTTTCCATGCTTTTCATCTTTACCATAAAAGTTTAAAGCATTTTTTTTAGGTCTTTAATGAACAATTAATTTTTGTGGGTGGTCTGAGAACGCAGCCTCCAGCCAGGAAATCTGGCCGAAGAATCTTGTGGTTTCCTAAAGTCTTTTGCAAGCCCATGAACCTCTTTACATCTTGTTTTCTGATACACATTTAGCAATAAGATGACAGTTCTCAAGCACCTGCCAGGGCATGGCAGGAAGGACTCAGAGTTAGAATGCTATAAATGCCTTAATTTTTTTTAAGTTCTCTAGGTACATTTTTTTTCATCCCAAGAATCCAAGTCCTCTTCAGCACACAATAGAAAGCCAAAAGACAATGGAGGGACAGATTAAAAATAAATAAAAGCAAACACACAGTGAAGTATTGCACAGCAATGCTTGATTGTTAAGGAGACTGAACAATGGGACCACCTGTGATGACTAAGAAATTGACTGGAAGCTTCACTGAAGGAGAAATGATGAAGGATTTGGGGGTGATGATAATGATAAACTAGACTAGTAGATCACCTTTTTTTAGTTCTAGAAATTTGGGGTTCATGATGACTATTGTTGGGGGTCTTCATCTCCCATTTACTCAGCTGAATCCAGTCTGGTTGAATTTTAACCAAAAAATACTATGTCCAAGAAAGGACCGTGTCCTGGGTCACATTGACCTCCTGGGACCAGAGGGTACAATGCAGGTATTGGGGGTGTGTTGGAGGGATTTATCCTCCCATGTACAAGGTGGCAAGGCATCAGTTTGGCATCTTTCCATGAAACCATGGGTAGATAAATAAATACTGCTGGTCTTGGTTGAATGCAGAATTCTGAGATCAATTTGTAGATTATACAAAAGCACACTGAGTTCCTACAGAGTGCCCCATAATCTGACGAGGCCTTTATGTAGTTCCACTGCTGGTGTATTGGCTATTACAATGTGAGTAGGTTACTGAAGGAGTGAAACACAATATTTGAAAGCTGTAAACGTGAGTGAGCCTTCCAATTACCAGTACGTGTCTTGTAACCTCGAGATGTTCCAAGCATTGGTGAAGAAGTTCCATGACTCTGAGCTGACCAAGAGACATCTAAAGAAATGCATTGCCTTGGCTTGTGTATTTAAACCTGCCTGGGTGGTTCGCTATTACAGGGTACCAGCTGACTTCCGCCGAGTGTTACGATCTTCGCAGCAACCGCATGGTGGCCGATCAGTACTGTCACTATTACCCAGAGAACGTGAAGCCCAAGCCCCAGCTTCAGGAGTGCAACTTGGATCCTTGTCCCGCCAGGTCAGTGTCACTCGTAGGTCCTTTATCATACATGGGAATGTGCCAGCTAAGCTTTTGAAATGAAAAGGTTGAGTCTACATTAAAAAGAAAAGTATTGCTGCCCAGTGTACATTCTAATCATTTATGATTAGTGTCCAGGCCCCAGCTTTCGCTACTATCTCAGTGTTTACCTATTTATTTTCCATTTGTCAAGCAGCAGCTGAAGCACTCTTCAAAGTCATTTTCCCATCTGCTTTCTTTCTGAGCTGGTTATTGAATCCGCACCTTATAAAGGCCCAGAGGTGGTAGCATCGTGCTTGTCCTCTTCACAGACATGGTAGCATCGTGCTTGTCCTCTTCACAGACGTGGTAGCATCGTGCTTGTCCTCTTCACAGA